TAGAAAAAATCAGCCAAAAGATAAAACATCAAAAATAGAGTTCTGACGCAAAAAGCCAAGTTAGCGCCAAACGCTGACCTTAGCGCCAGACAGGAGGATAAAATCGTATTTTCCTCAAAAACGTTCTTTGATTCTAAATAAAACTCTAAAAAGTCAACAAAAGTCAATTTATTAATGCTAATTGAATTAAGAATGAAAAGAACCTTCTAGAAGAATCTAGAAGACTAAAACCATTCCTAATTGCATTAGGAATGATAAATCCATATTAGGCCCTCCTCTAGATCATTGGGCCGCATATAAGGCTCAAACCAGGCCCAGTTCAGTAATTTGGCCAGAACTTCCTCAATATTCATCGGAATTAGGCTTATAATATATCGTTGGAAAACTCTTTTCAAGCCCTATCCAACTACACTACTATTGGACCCAAATCATGGACCAACCAAACTGGATTGGCTGTTTTCTTAAAATAGGTTTTCAAAAACAGAGAGAAGAGAAAAGAAATTAAAACTTTCCGCAACACTAAACTTTCCACACTTTCACTTCATTCGATTATGATTCGACGCGAAAGGTACTCATCACTGGGTTTGGTTTTGGGGAGACACAAATGGGTGTCTACACTGAGTAAGAATTGCTTGGAAAAGATTGTTGCTTTAATGGGTAAAACCGATTAAGCCTGATTTTGCGACTCAATTGAAAAAGAAGTTACAATATGCTAGATTCTTGGTAGAGGATGCAATTGATGGTGATTTTCCTGTTATGATTGAGTTTTTTTTTAATGAGAAAGGGGTTCAGCCATAAAGTTGTGTTTGAATGGAAATCTATAACATGTAAAGTGTGTAAGAAGATGGAGCATAGTGAGAGTGCATATGTTGTTAAGATCAGGAAGGAATTGAGACCTAAAGCACAGCAAATTCAAAAACTTGTTCCTATTTTTGGTTACACTAAGGAGAGACGTTGGAAGATTACTGGAAGCAAGAGGAAGAAGAGTGGTGAAAAAGAGAAGAAAAATCTTGAAAATTGAGTAGAGGTTTATAATTCTTTTGAGAAGTTGCATTAAATGAGGACTTGGAGTTTGGGGATGGTTTAGTTGGAGGGGCCCCATGAGGGGGCAGTAGGAAGGTGTTAATGGATAGTATTCTTTGTTGGAATGTGGGGGTCTTAATGACCTCTTAAAGTAGAAGGAAATCAGACGTTTGCTTAATGAAAAAAGAATAGGATTATGTTGTTAGTTGAAACAAAAATAAAAAGGGATAAATTCCCAATAATAAAAAACAATATGTTGCAAGTGTGGTATGTCACTTTTAATTTCTTGATGATCTTAGGAGGCAGAATTCTGGTTGCTTGGCAGGCTAAATTTTTTCAGGTTCAGGTCAATTCTACCAGGGAGCAATCTATTCATCTGAAAGTGAATAATTCCTCTTTGAGAGTAGAGTTTTATTGTACTTTTGTATATGATGTTTATGATAGTAATGGGAGAGAAGACCTCTAGAATGGCTTAAGTCAGTTAGGTGAAGGAATAAAAGAGCCTTGGCTTATTTCTGGGGATTTTAACTGTCCTCTAAATTTATATGATAGGGAAGAAAGGGTTGTCTCTTGGAGTGAGATAGAGCCATTCAAAAATTTACTAGTTCCTACAGTTTGAATGATCTAGTTCAGATTGGTTCCAAGGTTACTTGGAACAATAAGCAGCAGGGAAGTAGAAGGGTGTATTCTACAATTGATAGATCCATGGTGAATGAGGAGTGAATATTGAGTTTTTCGGATTCTTTTGTTCACTTCCTGCCTGAATCTTGGTTTGATCATAGCCATGCAGTTATTCATCCGGATAGGGCTTAGAATAATGGAAGGGGCACTTTTAAATTCTTAAACAAGTGGGCTTCACATCTTGAGTTTGATATATAATGGTTAAAGATGCGTGGAGTACTAATATCAATGGAGTGAAAAATGTATAAAATTATTTAAAAGCTGAAGTAGGCTTTAATATCTCTTCATAAAGATGATTTTGCTGACATTGAGGTTTAGTTTGTTAAGAAGAAAAAAGAATTAAGTGAGACTCAGTAGAAAGTGCATCAGGGAGGCTATCAAGATGAGAATTTGAAGGAATTGGAGCTGTAGACCTTAAAAGAGTTTTAGAAGGTTAAGGGTAGATACTATTCGTTCCTTAGCCAGAAAGTTAAGATTAAATGGCTTCAAATTGGAGATGAGAATCTATTTCCACATATCTTTGAAGATGAGAAGATAACTAAAGCCAATCATTGCGATTACGTATAAGAATGGAGACACCAAATCATATCTCTGTTACTTTTGTGGAATATTATAAAGAGCTGCTTGGTTCTGACCAGGGTGCTAGAATTACAATTAGGGAGAAGATTATTGTTTAACATGGTAATGTGCTTACTGAGGAGCGGGTCTAGTGTTGAATGCTCCTTTCACTAGACAAGAAGTTAGGAAGGCTATGTTCTCTATCCCAAGAGAGAAAGCAGATTCTAGTGTTAGCAACTTTTTAAAGAAGACTTGGAGTGTGATTGGGGAAGACATTACTGATGTAGTGTTGCAATTCATGGAGAATGGACAGCTACTCAAGGCTATTAACAGTATTACTTTGACCTTGACCTTTAAAGTAGAGCATACAACTCCAATCACTGAATTCAAACCTATAGGTTATTAGGTTGCTGTAATGTCATATATATATATATATATATATAAATGCATTATTAAGCTTCTCTGTTCAAGACTGAAGAAGGTTCTTCCTCATTTGGTTTCTCAGAGCCAAACTTGTTTTGTTGAAGGCAGACAAATAATGCAAAATATTAGTATCGTACATTACTTGGTGGCTAAGTATGGGAGAAAGAATACCCTTAGTGAACGTTTGTTGAAGGTGGATATCAGGAAGGCCTATAATTTTGTCAAATGGGAGTTTTTGTCAGAAACGTTAACAACTCTGAATTTCCCTAGAAAGTTTATTCAGTTGATTATGGCTTGTGTCTCTTCTCCTTCTTTTCTTTAACATCTATATTAGTGGGAGCTTGACTGGTTCTTTTCAAGGAAAAAGAGGTTTGAGAGAAGGAGACCCAATATCTCCTCTTTAATTTTTGCTTTGCATGAAATAACTTTCTTGAATTCTCTTTCATGTTGGGTCTCTTCCTCAGTTCAAATTTCATCCTAAGTGCAAAAGTTTGAAGTTAAACCACTTAGTTTTTTGCTGATGGTCTTATCATTTTTAGCAAAGGTGATAAGGATTTAGTGAATTTGATTTCGAGAAGTTTGGCAACTTTTGCAGCAACTAGCTTCTGGTTTGGTAGCAAATGAAGAAAAATAAAATATTTACTTCTGCAACGTTAGCTAGGATGACAAAGAGGAGATAATCAACACTTCCGGTTTTGTGGAAGGTTCTCTCCAATTCTGATATTTGGGTGTTAATGTAAGTGCCAAAAAGCTTGAAAAGGATGAATGCTAGAGTCTTATTAATAAAATTGCAAGATGAATTAAGACTTGGGTTTAATGGGTTTGTAAGAAATTGTCTTATGCTGGAAGAGTTGTTCTTGTCAACTTTGTTCTTATGTCCATGCATGTATTTTGGGCTTCTATTTTCATTCTCCCTTAAGTTATTTTAGATGGAGTGGTGGCTATTTGCAGGAACTATCTATGGGATGGTAAACATGTCTATTCTAGGGCTTCTTCCATTTCTTGGGAGTATGTCTGCAAAAAGCAAGAAGCAAGGGGGGCTAGGTTTGCATAATATTCATGCCTGGAATATTGCTGCAGTGGGCTAGCTCATCTGGAACATAGCTCAAAAGAAAGATACTTTGTGGTTGAGATGGGTTAATAGTCTGTATTTGAAGAATAAGAATTGGATAAGATACAAGTGCCCTCCTACTTGTAGCTGGAATTAGAAGCAGATTTGATGGGTAAAGGATAAGTTGAAAACTGATTATAAAGATAAAATATTCTACGGCTAGTGGTTATAAATGGCTGACTCAAGACTCAAATGATGTTGCTTGGAGTGATTGGGTTTGGAATCGACTCAATGTTCCCAAGCATAGGTTCATATGCTTGTTGGTTATGTGGAGAAGAATCAAGGTAAAGGAGAAGTTCGCAAAGCTGGGAATAACTAATGATGATCTTTGTCCACTTTGCAATTTGATTCCTGAAACTCTGGACCATATCTTCTTTGAGTGCCAGTACAACTTTCAGAATGCTATAAAGATTTAGCTTAATCCTGCTAATATTGAAGACTGTAATGCTCGAATGGAGCAGATTATAGGAAGGTTTAAGAGGAAGGTAATTCAGAGCTGTTTTGCTGGCCTTACATACTGTATTTGGCAGCAAAGAAATAGAGTGGTGTGGGAGAAATGCCTAAGAAGACTAGAAGATGTAATAAGAGATATGAAGTTTGATATATTCCAAAGAATTAGTTTTATAATGCCTGTAAAGACTAGTAGAAAACTAGAAACCATTGTAACTGCTTTAGGAATGTAATGTGCAGTTAGGGGTTTGGTGTTACCTGGTCTGTGTTGGACTTGGCTATTTGTGTTCTGTTTTATGTAGCAAAACACTTTTGATGCTATGAGTATTACTAATATTCTTTTTATTTTTTAAAAAAAGCTTTCTAAATTAATTTTGATTAAACATCGCAATATATATATTTATGATGATTTGGGGGCATTGTACGGGCCAATAATTAATTTCAATTTACAATCAAAATTAGTGTTAATAAGTTCAATTAATTTTTAAATACTTATACCATCAACTTCATTTATATAAGTACCCGTCAAAAAAAAAAGACCTTCATTTATATAAGTAAAAATTTATTAACTATTGCTTCAAGGAGACTATACTAACATCATTAATCCTTTCAAATTACAACGTGTCTTTTGTACGGTTAACCATACCATGTAATTGCTATTATAACATTGTTTCTATAATATTTACTGATGAAACAATCTCTATAATTATTGGCCACACGGTATAACCAACTGCATACAAAAATTTGTATTCAAATTAAACACACACTTGGGGGGTTTACCTCGTGATACGAATCCAACATTCATATCACACCCTAAGATCATAAACCTCAATAAACAAAAGTAAAAAAAAAAAAAAACTAGTGTATGACTATTATGAATAATTGAATAATAGTATGTGACTTTGTCATGTATTGTCACAAGAATATCAAAACACAATACGGAACCACCAAACCACGACACACTACACATCACTGGATCTCCTTCGCACAAACAACCAACTCTGAAGATTAAATCATGCAGGTGATCAATGCGGTGGCGTTGGCGCGAATAGCCTTCAGAAACGGGGCAGATGGGTTATCCTCTGAAATTGAATTCGGCACACCATGGTGGTTCATCTATGCCGGCATCTGCTGTTTCCTCGTCCTCTTTGCTGGTCTTATGTCCGGTTTGACTCTTGGTTTGATGTCTCTTAGTCTTGTTGACTTGGAGATTCTTAAACGTAGTGGCACTAATTCTGAACAAAAACAATCAGGTTTTTCTTTTATCCACAATCACTTCATTATTGGGGAATGTTTGAGCTTTTTATTTGTTTCACTTATTATAGTAATTTGTAAAGAAAAAGGTGAACTTTTTGGGTGATTATTCTACCCTTTTGGCAAGATAATGTTTTGTATTGTATATGAAATGGGAATTAATGTCCCTTTTTTTTTGTGGGAATTATGAGAATTTTGGATGATGGGTTTAATTTATGATTTGATTTGATTATTGCATTTGATGAACTGGGTTGTGTTTGTTGGATTTGTCAATTGTGAGAAATGTTGCCTGATTGAATTTGTTTGAAGTTAATTTTTAAGTTTCCATGAATTTCGAGGAAGAATATACTGTCAATATGGGATTATTCGGAATACAAGTATTAGTTTTTTTAAAGGGTAGTTGTGAATATTCTGCATTTAAAGGAATCGAGTTATTAAAATACTGTGGATTTGAGAATTAGGTACTGAGGCTTTGTTAAGTTTTAAACTTGATTGACCATGGTCCTCCAATTGGGATTGCTGAAATTTTTTATTCAGTTATTCATGTGTATGACATTGAAAAGATTGTAAATTGAGTTATTTTGAGCTGTATAATACTGTTCGTTTGCAGTGTGAGCAATATCCCTGCAGGTTCGATAAATTCTGTGTAACTTGTGCAGGCATTTGGCGTAGAAAAATGTGATTAATTCTTAATGTAGGGGAACTGAAGCGTATTAAGTTCGCTTTGGTGTGGAATTGGGGCTTTGTAGTTTGGAATTAGACAACAAGATCTTTGGATTTGGGTATTTCATTGATTTCAAAGTCATAATCGAGAATTTGGAATTTGGGATGGTCTCAGTATTTTTATTTTGCTGATTGTGTGTTATTAATAGCTGCATTTGTTGTGTAAACTAAGTTGAGGTATATTTTTGTCTTATCTATCCAGCTGCTATCCTCCCTGTTGTTCAAAAGCAGCATCAACTTCTGGTTACATTACTTTTATGCAATGCAGCCGCCATGGAGGTTAGCATAGCAGTTTACTTATTGAATGTGTCTTTATCTTGACAAGTCATGTCCTAGTCATTGCCTGGCTGTGGTCTGTTCAATCGTGAACTCTGCAATATTCTTTGTTGCTTAACCTCTAGGCCATAAACTATTGTGAATGAGAAATTTTGAGGATAAGAAACGCAATCGAAAAGTATATTCCCAAGTTATATGTGAAACATAACCAGACATGATGTTTCAAGATGAAAGTGCTGTTTACAATAGACATGTATTTGATGCGAAGGTCTTACATTTTAGTCTTAGAATTGTTATACCCCTGTGTTTGTGGTTTGCAGCTGCCTCTTATGGTGTTTGGACGCTTGTTCTATAGTTGGCTGTTTGGGTACTTACTAATAAAGTGTTTGTTAGGAGATAATAGATTTAGGTTTATGGTGGGAGGGAAGAAACTGTTGCTTGGATGCCCTTAGGCCTTAGTAATTTTTGTAAAGTTTTTTTTTTCTACGTTGATCTTATTGGCATATCATACTTTCATTTTTTTTTTTTAATTTTCTTGTTTTATTATTGGATATTAATGGCGTATTTGTTCACCGATATGCTGTAGAATTTTTAGAATTGAGAGCTGCACTTGAATTCTAAGTTCAGAGTCCTTCAGACTGATTATACTTTCAATTTGCCCCTATCTGACTGTGTTTTGACCTTCACTTGCAGGCACTTCCTATATATTTGGACAAGATGTTTAATCAGTATGTAGCTATTATACTTTCTGTAACTTTGGTCCTAGCTTTCGGAGAGGTTGGTAGTTTTATTTCTATTACCCTTCTGAAGTTTTAACACTTACCTGGCTTACTGCCTACTCACAGGAACTTTCTGTTTTTTTAATTAGGTCATTCCTCAATCCATTTGCACTAGATATGGCCTTGCTGTTGGTGCGAATTTTGTATGGCTTGTACGCATATTGATGATTATTTGCTACCCAATCGCTTATCCTATTGGAAAGGTAAATTTTCTTAGTTTTAGTCACGGCTTCTTCGTAGCTAGGAAATATAATGATTGTGCCAACGTTTTTTCCAAAATGTGCTTATAAAGTGTCTTACATTCCATATTGCAAATTTGCAATCTTTCTAGTCTTGTAAATAAAAAAGAAAATAATTACTTCATCCGTTCACGTAATCTTGCAACACTTACCATTTAAAGAAGTTAAACAAATACTGCGATATCACTATGTTGGGAAATTTTTTGCTAAGAAAATATCAACTTTTACTTCATGGATTTACATTTCTCTTTCTTATTGTAGTTATTACTAATTTTTAATTTTCCTTTGAGGTACTCCGTAAATTTTTAGAAAGGGAGAATTTCGTGAAAATTTATTCTCCAGTTATTGACCAATTATGCACATTAATCACTTAGGTTTATTCTAAGCGATTTATTTTGTTTAGTTTTTATCGTATTTGAACTTTTCTTAACTTATCTAAACTTCCCAAACTTACATTACATTTACTTCTCTATTTTTTTTTTCCTTTGCAGAATGACTTTTTTACTTCTCTATTTTTTTTTTCATTGTAGAAAGACTTCTTTTGAACTTTTTTGTGCGCGCTTATGAACTTATTTTCTTAGTATATAGTTTATTTAGAGAGGATGATATAGTTGATAAACATAGCTTATATCTATGCTATTTGTAGCAGAAATTTAGAGAGGATGATAAAGTTGATAAATATGTTTATGTGGACACCAGAAGTAGTATTATTATAAGTCTGTACAGTGTAAGCCAATGAGCTAAGTGTACCACTTAGTACTAACCATATCTATAAACATTATATACTGTAGCTGGTGGACAACAGAATTGAGTTTAATATGATAAGCAGAATTCATTAGATAGATGTTTGCTGGCAAATTCCACCATTTTTCCAGGTGGATGTAGTGAGGGTTAGAGAAGGGACGTTTATATTTAGCTTCTTATTCTTGTTTTGATAAGTGATGTTTAGGCTACTGTTGACTTCTAACTCTGTTTACCTTTTCTTTTTGGAACATTTAGTTTTCCATGCTAATTTTTCTAATTATTCTTGCTTTCCTTATTATAAATATTTGATTAGTGGAAGAGAAGGCAAGGGAGAAAAATTGTGGCTTTTTAATTAAAAGCATAAGATAAACTAAGTGCTTGTTTGGTTGACTTGGGAATCATATTCCCATAGGAATATTTATTTCATGGGAATTTAATCCTCTTCAAATTCGTAGAATATTTCCTATGTTTGGTTGACATGAAAATATTGCAAATTATGGAAATTTTATGTTGACAAAGGGGGAGGGTTGTTGGGGGGGGAGGGGGAGAGTAGGAGTGGTTGGGTGAGATTTTAAAATATCTATGTTTTGCAGGAATTTCCAATTCCTATAGAAAATGTAATTCCTGCTTTTGCACTTTATTTTGTTGTTAAAGCCCTTTTGTTCACTACATGTGAGTTGTCCCGCATTGGAATAAGAGGGGAGAAAGTACCACCTTATAAGCTAGAGCAGTTACTTCTATCACCAATTGTTGCGTAAGATAGTAGACTGGTTGATTTTAAGTGCGGCTATAGTATGTAACCTCATTTGGGCTTGTAAGTGGATCAAACTCTACTCTTTGTTTGGGTTTTCCATTTCATCTCATCCAAAAATTTCAATTAACCACCCTCTATCCCCAAATTCTCGTGAAGTTTCGATTCCCCTATATTTTGGTCAACCAATTAAGCAGTAAGTGTAAAAGTAACTACCCTTAATTATGAAGGCTATGCCGGAGGGAGTAACTTTTTGCAGTTGTAGGTGTTGGACTGCTTACTAGGACACAATGAAGCACTCTTCAGGAGAGCTCAGCTAAAAGCACTTGTCTCCATTCATGGCCAAGAGGTAATCAGCTGTTTACAAAAATGCTTATTTATGTATTTAATTACAGTATCAACAATTTCTGATCTGTTTGACTTATTTAAAATGCTAAGAATATTTATATGCTTCAATTGTTTTTTTTTTTTTTTTTACCTGGCTTCACTTACAAACTGATTAGATTTTATTGTCTATTAGGCTGGAAAGGGAGGTGAACTTACTCATGATGAGACAACAATTATCAGTGGAGCATTAGATTTGACAGAGAAGGTAGCTGCTGAAGACACCCATGAATCTGAAAGCATTGTCAACTTTTTAATTAAAGTTTCTGTGTGTCAACTTCCTACTTCTGATTACTAGATTGATTCTCCAAAGTGCCTTGGTCTAGTGTAGAATGTCAAATATGTGGGCCTTGCTTTCAAATTTATATTGAGTAGAGAGAAAGAGGAATTGGGCAGTTAACATAATCTACAATTCTTCATTTTCTTGTATTGCTTTTCTTCGCATGTTTTTGTTGAAATTTTTGTATCTCTTTAAACAATCAGTGTATGCAGTTTAAAATGTCTATAATCTCTCTCTCTCTCTCTCTCTCTCTCTCCCCCACCCTCTCTCTCTAGGTGCAATTTTGAGCAATCTCACCCTGCTATATACCTGCTGTACACCCAATTTAATAAGTTCATTTTTATATTATTTAAAATTTTAATTTGGGTGAACAGACTGCTCAGGAGGCAATGACGCCTATTGAATCGACGTTTTCATTGGATGTCGACTCAAAACTAGACTGGTAATGGTGTTTGTTTATCTTTTTTCTCCCTATTACGTATAATTGTCCTCTCATCTAGGCATTAGTAAGTCCAATCTGTCTCTGGACTCTGGTGCTATTAATAATTTTAAAGATACTGCCATATTTTGCACTCTTGAAAGCTATGCCGTTTATTATTTCTTTACTTTATGTTGGATGCTAAATTGCTTTGTTATCACCTACCACATAGCTGATATGAACATTACCTGAGGACTCTACGTATACTATTGGATGATTAAACTAATTTTTAATACTGCATGCAATTGGCATACTTGTTAATATTACTTGAGTAAACTTGCATTTTATATTCTCAATGGTCCATTGGAATTGGCTTAGAAGCCAAGAGAGTATGCTAATTTCTTTCATATAATGCACTCTCTCCTTTCACATTTATTATCTGTCATGTTTAGGATTTTCGGCATTTTTAACAATCTAAGCCAACATAAAATTTTCTCATGACCCCACTCCTAATTTATGTTCTCTACAAATTATCATCTGGATTTATGGCAACATTATTATAGAAATATTCGACAAATATACTGAGACATCTATAACCTTGTGCCTTAATAAGCGTGTTCTGGGAATTTGTGGGCAGGGGCTGGGGGTAAGCTTGTGTTATTCCCACTTTAGTTAGGATTTGAGGTAGGATGTGTCCCTTATATCCTCTCATTTTGGAGTTAGTTGGATAATAAATTGTCTGCAGCCTTCCAATTGCTTTCTCCACCCCCCCCCCCCAAAAAAAAAAAAGAAGTTTTGCAGTTTGTTGATCTGTGTATATTTTATCCTGTAGGGAAGCTATGGGAAAGATCCTAGCTCGTGGACATAGCCGAGTACCTGTTTATTCTGGGAATCCAAAAAATATCATTGGACTTCTCTTGGTAGGTCTCAGAAAGTTGTAGTTCTGAGTTTTTGAAGCATTATCTATACCCATCATATCAATTTACTGAAATAGGTTATTCATGTACTGCTTTCAATGGTCTAAAAGTGTCTTGCTAAAAGAGTTTTATTTTCATTTTTAAATCTATAGGTCAAAACTCTTCTAACAGTACGACCTGAAACAGAGACTCCTGTAAGTGCAGTTTCCATACGAAAAATTCCGAGGTATGCTCTTCAATCTCTATATACATATGCCATTAGTTCCTATAGCATGACTGGGGGAGTGATTTTTCCGGCATTCTTTCCAGGGTTCCAGCAGACATGCCTTTGTATGACATACTGAATGAATTTCAGAAAGGTCACAGTCATATGGCAGCTGTGGTGAAGGCAAAACCAAAGAGTATTAATAATTTACCTGTGGTTGACACTGAGAAATCCAAGTTGAAAGGCACTGATGCTGAGTTCAATTTAGCTACTCCTTTATTGTCAAAACAAAAAGACAATGCTGAGAGTATTGTTGACATTGAAAAAATTTCTAAAGAAAGCAACACCTACAAGCAAATTTCACAACAGGATAATGCATTTCCAAATTTAATGCCACATTCTGTAGAGGATATTGATGAGGGAGACGTCGTTGGCATTATCACCCTCGAGGATGTATTTGAAGAGCTTCTGCAGGTAGCCAAATTTTTTTTGTTAACTATTCTATTTATATATTTATTTACATACTTATCTAGTTATGTATTATTTATTTAAGATTACTGAAGAAACTTGGTTACTCAATATTTAGTACGTAGTATATATATAAAAGGAAGCACACAGTACAATCCTGGAAACAGCTCATCCAAAGCAGGAGTCTCCTTTACAGGAAGATCATCTGAACCTAGGTTGTAAGGACAAGCCTATGATATAAGTATTTTACAACACTACTGAATATATAACTTGTTACAATCTTTCCTTTTGACTTCTAGACATTTATATAGTTGCTTTGCTAGGAATAATCTCTAATTTCAGACTCCAGCACTAGTTCAATATATGACATATTTTGACATAGTTTTTTTCATCTGTGTATCTGTATCCGTCCGCATTGAACACTGCTATACTGCTACATATGGCTGATAAGGGAGCCAAATTGGAGAATACTCTACCATCAAAGCCACTGTCTTTTTACCTTGACCAAAATTGAATATCATCTGAAACCATTTGTAGTTTAGTTTAAGTTAACTTCTAGTAATATAATCAACATTCAAAGAGCAGATGACAGAGAGTCATCAATCAAACTCCACATAGGAAATAAGCAACATCATTCTGGACCCGAATGTTTATTAATGAGACTTGTCCCTCATTTTTTCATTTGGAAACCTTTTCCCTGAATTTTCTTAATTCTAGAATTGTACTTTATGAATGGTATTTGGACTTAGACTTCATTCTTTGCACTCCAATGTTCCTTACTTGGAATTAGACTATATTAGATATACCAGAACTTATCTATCTGTAGTTAAAGGAGTATGTTTTTCTTGAAACTTATATAATTATGAGATTGTAACAAGACCTTAAGTCTTTAATTTGCTAAGTATCGCTTACAAAGTTGATGAGGCAATGCTTGTCCTGTGCCAATCAACCTTGTTATGATCCCCCTGTATTCTGATTGTTCTTACTAGCTGTAATATAGTCGTGGGTAGCTCTTTGTTAATTATTTGCATCAATAATACCAGCAGGAAAGACATTTCTTGCATCACATATTTTCCTCAAGGATTGCCTGCTGGTGAACTTTGTTTTCTATATTCTTTTTTCTGGTACAGATGTGGTAACCAATTGACTTGTAGGGTTATTAAAATTTGAGCCAACAAGCCAAATATAATTTCTTAAAGCTGCAGTTGCAGGCTTGCAGCTATTAAAGTCTTTAACATCTAAAACCAGACCTCCCTCTTATTTGGCCAACTGACTAAGTTTCATGCTTTGAAGGCTGTTTACAATGCTTCTTATGGCCACATTAAGTTAAATTACTTCCTTCTACTGAAAATGGTTCTTTTATCTTTCTTTTTTATTTGTCATTAAATTTTTTTGTATTTTCTATGGAAGCCATAATAAATGCTGTCCTCGTGTTGTTTTTGCAAATGCAGGAGGAGATTGTAGATGAAACAGATGAGTATATTGATGTTCATAAAAGGTATCGGCCATGAACATGTACAATTCAGTGGCAGTTGACTGATTTGGTCATTAAATTGGCACTTACAATTTTACTCACTTCATGCAGGATACGTGTTGCTGCAGTTGCAGCTGCTTCCTCAGTTGCCCGTGCTCCATCTGTTCGGAGATTAACTAGCCAAAAGGCATTGGTAAGTAACCAATTTTAAATGTTGAACGGCCAAATATCTGCACTCAGGGTACTCTAGTTTCTGGCATTTATATCTTCTTAGGTTATAATTTGTACTTGTTTTAAAGTTGATCAGAACCACGTACATTCCAAAAAAAAAAAAAAAAAAAAAAGTCGCCTGATAGATCTATCTTGATTCTTGACTATTGAGGCACCTCCTAAATTCCTCCATCTCTGATAACTTGTACCTGACGCCTGAGTCTGAGGGCCAAAATCCGTCATCTTCACCTCTTCCATGAATCTAAAAGGAAGAGAACTTTCCTTCTGTCCCTCATATTGCTGGAGGGGAACACTTAGTCAAGCTCGCTTTAATCTATTGATTTTATGTAGTGGATTTATTGTGATGGTCACTGTAAAGAGTAATGTGATGCGATTTATAATTGATTGAAAAAGATTTACTTTTTAGGGGCTTTTTTCGCATTGAAAATGTGGATCTTAGTAATTGGTTTATTTGATTTTTTCTAGAATTGTGTTTCATCTCATGACTGTATGGCAGAAATGATGAAATTATTAAGATATCTTAATATTAGTTCAAGTTGGCTTTGCTTTTTGTGCAAGGGAATCTAAGCTATTAGGTATTTAGGTTATTAGGTTGTTTCATAGAGCATGGCTAGAAGCCTATTGCCAAGTTGCATGAATTCGTTGATGAAGGAATTAATCTCTAAGATATACACCGGGAGGTATTGATGTAATAACTCAAAGCTTGTTTGGAAAAGAAGAATGAGCTGTTTTTGCCCTGGTTATTATTTTTTTCCTGCTATATTCTTTAAAAACAATTAATAGCCAAGCATTTCTAAAGTAAATTACTTGCTAGTAGTTAAGATTTAGAAAGTTCTGCACGCTCAAGTGTGTGCAGAAAAATATACGAAAAGATTACAGTAAATCCGTTTTCTGTTTTTCCATATTCCTCTACTTTTTGCGGAATTTGTAACCTTTACTTTCTTAAATGGCGTTTCTCAGGGCCAGGGAGGCTTAAATAGGCAAGGACAAGGCTTGAAGAAGCCCAGTGATGATATTCCTACGTCAACAAAATGATGAAGGACCTTTTATCTGTTGAGCCTGTCTGGGAGAAGGAGATGCAATATTAGACTTGGCATCATTTATTTATGATTCCTATACATATTATCGAAATTAGATTCAGAAGTATGCTGTGTCGTTCAATTTTGTGTCGTTCTGTTTATATTTTTTTCGAGAAAAAACTGTGTTGCTTCCTTTGGTGATTGTAGATACTAGATCAGAGGTACTAGCATGTTGAGTGATTCTTTATTTAACATCTACAACTTTAAATAAAACCAGGTTGTTTTTTGTAGCTTGATAATGCTTCAGCTATTCAGCATCTGTCTTTGTAGTTTATAATTAACAGGCATCAGTTTTTTTTTTTCAAAAATTTTGTATACATCCGGTTTACACTAATATTAGTGTACATCGAACAGTATAAGGGTAACTTTTAGCTAATTTTAGGGTAACTTTTTGTCTTTTTTTGAGTAATTTTAAACATAATACAATTTTTATATAAATCAACAACAAGAAAAGTTTTATAAAGGTAATTTTATTACATTCAATCACTAATAATTGATTTTTAGTCATTTAAAATGTGATTATTTACTAATAAAGCGTAGATAATTTTTATTTGAATTGGATTACTTTAACGCATATTGGGGTAACTTTTATTTATTTCAGGAGTAACTTTTAATCACTTTAGGTTATCTTTGTAATGGATGTACAATAATTATTGTACACCCGATTTTTTTAAAAGTTTGTGTTTTTTTTTTCTAATAAAAGAGTGCGACATATACGCAAGTACACAACCAAAAAACGAGTATATCACTATTACTAGCAAAAGAAGACTACTAACTCTCGTTCTTTAATAAGAGGCCAAAGATTCCTTAAATACACGCACACTCCACTTGAGTGTAGTAGTTACTGCACTCAACACACAAACTGCCCACACAAGCAACAACAGTCACCAAACACTTGTGGATACACCAACCACCTAAGTCGCCTAAAGTCTAAAAATACTTATCAAAATACGGAGTATATACCCAAGATAGATATATCCTAGAGGTGATCAAGGCGGGTTTGGGTTAGGGTGAAAAACTCATTTTTAATTACTAGATATTATGTTAAGGCCCAGCCTAACCCGGCCCGAATTTTGATCACTTCTAATTCCCCTATATCCTAAATTCCTAACAGATTATATTTTTTTACAAAAGTAACAAAACCAATCAAAACAATATGTTCACATTGTGAGTGTGGCCATAAATACTTTTTTAGCTTGCATATGTTCTTTTGGCTTACATAATGTCAGCATCTTGTTCTAATTCAAGCCTTCAATAGCTATAATAGTTTTACAGCTTTTGAAGCAAAATGCAAAGTCTTTCAGTCCAGCCAGTCTGACTGTCTGATTGGCCCGAGTAGGGTTTTTGAGGGTGAAGAATTGGATTTATGTGGTTTATTTCGTGCATAAGACTTGACCACCCATTAGTGGCTCGCCGTCACTTGGGGCACACTGCCTGATGGTGCCATCAAGCAGTTTGTTATGTGGGATACCTTGTTTGTTTTGCATGACAATGTAATGTGCTTTGCTAGTGGGTTGCCCTGGCGTGTCGGTATTGGGATGAATATCACCTTACTCAAGTTCAGAGTAGAGCGTTCCAGTGCTTCCACAATATACGTGACTCCTATCGATGGTCAGCTTCAGCCCTATGAAATTCCTTTCTCCGCTAGAATAACATTCTCCCACTTGATCAGGAGGCTTCCTGCTGATTGGTGGTTTTCGACTCCGATCAAGCTTGTGGTGTTTGTGTCCCTGTGAACCTTGTAGTCTTTTCATTTAAGATGCCCTTTTCATTTTGTAGTCTTTCCATCCCAAATACTTGGAAATGATTATACTAAGCCGGGGACTGAAGAGAGATAAGCTAGTTTTGTGTCTTTCCTCTTATAAATTTCTGAGTAACTAGTTCACTTTAGAGTTTAGTGTAAGTTGTTCCTTTGTGGTGGTCTCTTATGATGTAATTAATATTCCTTATAATTTTACAAATTATACACAAATATACTTCCTCCGTTTTTTTAATCGATACGTTTTTTTAGTCATGTTTGACAATACACAAATTCAACCACTAATATCTTTATTTTTTTTTATTTGACAAAAATTAATATCTTTAATTACCGATAAACAAAAATTATAAAAAGTTGATATTTTGAAAGTATATATCATGACAAATCTAACATGACTATATTTTTTATCACATATAAAGTACAAAACACGGTTAAAGACGGGTGTGTGAATAATGCTAAAGTCGAAACGTGTAAACTAATAAAAAACAGAGGTAGTATACAACAAGATATATCTACTTTACATAAATATATCCTAACAAATTAAATTACAGTAATTGCATTTTACCTTAACACAAGATGAACCCGAACCAAAACTGATTTTCAAGGTCTGGACTAGAATCGGACTTGTTGATTCAGGTCCTGTCTTCGGTCCTAAAAATGATGGTTATGAAGATGGATGCACTAGTGTGCAGATTTTCTTAAAAATTTCTATTTCTTATGATAATTAATTAGTAATATACTAATCAAATTCATTTTTAATATACTAATTGATAAATTTTATAAAACATGTTCACTTTTTAGTACTTTTTTTTTAATTACTGTTTGTTCATTTTTTTTACGTGTTCATAATATTAATACTAAATGTTCATTTTATAGAGTGTGGTGCAATTAAGACCACCTATTGCTTGATCACTATTATAGTATTGGGCCTTTGGCTTCCTAATTCATAAATGTGATACTACCGCTGATTTTTTTTTATAATTGCAAATTTGAAATATTTTATATCTCCTAAATAATACCCTAGAGTTAGGCCCTGTTTGATTAACCTTAATTTTGCTGAACTGAAATTATTTTTACTGAATTGAACTTATTTTTACTGAACTGAACTTAATTTTACTGAACTAAAATTATTTTTACTGAACTAAAACTATTTTTACTGAACTGAAATTATTTTTACTGATTTTCTATTATAATTATTCTTTAAGAAAACTGAATTTTACTTAACTAAACTTATTTTTACTGAACTGAAATTATTTTTCCTGAACTGAAATTAATTTTACTGAACTGAACTTAATTTTACTAAACTGAACTTATTTTTACTTAATATTATTTTTTTTTAAGGTGAAAAGAACAGGGCCTTACAACTAAATAAAATTGATTAATCGAAGGAAGTATATTCAATTTTCACATTGTCTACTTACAAGAGATATCTTCATGTCGTATATGAAGGAAATAACTGATGCTCCAAAAATAAGAATAATTAACCATACAATTGCTCTTAAAGACTATCAATTAAAGACTACGAGTCTAATTCTTTTTTTCCTCCATCTATATATATAATTAGGGGGGCCTCATTTCTGTTGTTCTATTAATGTGTTTCTTCTACTTGTTGTTCTGTTTCTTCTAATTGCTCTGTTCCCAATATTAACATCAAGAATGGAAACACAAAGGTCTTACTCCGGCAAGCAAAAAAGCGTGGATAAATGGAGCAATCTTCCAAGAGACATACTCTTACACATCCTCCAACGCCATGGTTTGAAGCCAGACCTTCACCGTCTTCGTGCTGTTTGCTCGTCTTGGCGAACCGCTCTTTCTCCAAACCCTGAATTTCCTTCCCATCTTACACCCTGTTTCAGGACTCCATCACACCCTCTTTACGGAGACCGCCCTCTTTTCCTCATCGAAACCCGATTCTACTTTCTATCTCCTCTCCCCTCTTCCAGTGTCGATGTCGATGCTGGTGCTTGGGTTGCCAAGATGATTGAACTTGAGCCATCGAAATGGCACCTCCTTAACCCGGTTGATGACGGTTGACCCTAGACTACTTTCACTCGGATCCACCCATTATTGGGAAACTGGGTCTCTATCTGTTGGATTGTCGGGTTCTTGAACTTGATAGACCCATGTACTTGGTTCATCTATCGGACCGTAAAACCCGACCCGAATGTATATCGTACCTAGTTTTGGGTGGTTGGGCATTGAATTCGAGTTATAAGTATGCTGTGTTAGTGCATCGTAAGAGAAAGAACGCGTTGATGTTATGGAGATTGGGTGACAAAGAATGGATTGATATCGAGACTACCCATTGGGGAAGTGTATTTGATATGGCTTTTCATAATGGAAAATTCTATGTAATCTTGTTCAAAGAAACAGGGCATAACTGTCCTAAGTGGAGAATCGGGGTAATCGATCCTCAAAATGAAATGATTTCGATGCATTTCATCGACAGGCCTGATTTTTTGGTACAAAATCAATTGGACAAAGAAATTAATGTCAAAGGGATTTCATACGAGTTACGGTATTTGAAGATGGTGTCGTCGAATGAGGAGTTGTATCTTGCCATCGAAGGAATGTGAGAGGATTATGGTGGAGGGAGTTGCACTAGCAGAATGTTTGTGTTCCTGTTTAAGGAAGAAAAAGAGTGGGTGCGTTTGAAAAACTTGGGCGATCGAGCCTTTTTCCTTGGCTTTGGGCGTTGTAAAGAGAGGTCATTTGTTATCCCATCTTTGAAAGAATATTTACCACAATGGAAGCCGAGTACGATTTGCTATTGGTTTCCTGAGGTCGATGTACAAGAAGGGGTGGAGCGATATGGTGAAGGAAGTAGCAGGCCTGACTGTCCTATGCCAAAGGGACTAGAGTACCTCAACAGTCTGATTTTTCCAACATATGATAAATATTTTCATGTGTTCAACATACAAAAGCAGGTTAGGCTTCTCATGGGCTATCCAAACAAGGACCATAAAATGTATCGAGGGCTGTTCTTTCCGCCTCCACCCTGGGTTAAATGGCACTGCCCTAGCCTTGGGAATGTTGATGTCAGCTTTACTGGTTTGTATATCGATGATCATGATGATGATGATATCACTGAGGAGGAAGAACAACATGCTTATATCACTGATGAGGAACACCAACATGCTGATACCGATGATGAGGAAGAGCAACATGATGATATTGCTGATGAGGAACAACAACATGATGATACCGAAGATGATACTGATGATGATACCAAAGATGATGAGGAGGAACAGCATGATGATGCCAATGAGGAGGATGAAGCTGCTCAAGCATTGATAATGTTGAGCTCAGGTTAAGTGTATGGTTTAATTGCATTTTCACATAAGATAACGCGTAAGGTTGTTTACTAAACTGATTTTGTTGTGTTTTGATTGTGATCTTGCTTGCTGGATCTATGTCATCTATCTAGTGCTAGTGAGTCTATAGACATTGTAGTGTTAGTAGGAATTGGAA